CTCTTTGTATCCCCAATACCAAGTCTATGACATCCTATACCCTAGTCTCTTGTGTGCCAACCCACAAACGTTGTGATTCAACGTTGAACTTAATCAAAGCAAGCAGTACCACAACATTTGTGGGTTGGCACACAAGAGACTAGGGCTTGGGAGGTCATACACTTGTTATTAGTGATAGAAGCAGGATATGAGCGACGGTGATGGGAGCTAGTTAGCTAAAAGTAATTTTTATAAGAGACGTGGTCCATGTAGCAAAGGCTTGACGATATGATTTACGCAGATGCTTTAGCCTCGAATTTGTCATCCAGACGCAGAGGAGGGCGAATAACGCCTCGAGTGGTACAGCTAGGGTGGCAGGGGTCGAGTGAAAAACTTGAACCAGGGAGAGAGCAGAAGGATCTTACGGGGCACGAGAGAGACTGTGATAAATGCGAGGAAATGTTGGATTTCGAGGAATCTCTTGTTTCATAATTGTTGAGCCTACTTCCATTTCGAGTGAAAGTGTTGGGTGAAGAAATTCTAAGGTCAGTTCCACCAAAAGGCGACAACGGATTCCTCTTGACCAGCTGTCGATTGGCTTTACTGGAAGATTCATGTTGACGCTGTTTCCGAGGCAGTCTCCTTCGATTCCGGTGAAAAGGTGCAAAGCTTTCGTCCGTCATATGACGGACATTATCAGAGCGAGGTAACATCGTCACGAAAAAATTGAAGCTAAATAGTCAAGAAAACTCACCGGCAAATCCATAAAAAGTGAGATTAAATTTTGTAGTAATGATGTCACATCGCTCTGATGATGTCCGTCATATGACGGACAAAAGATTAGCACCTTTTCACCGGAATCGAAGAAGATCGTCTCGGAAACAGCGTCAGCATAAATCTTCTAGTAAAGCCAATCGACAGCTGGTCAAGACTGTGATAAGACCTAGGGAAGGAGGATTGCTCAACAATATGGCAGACTCTGATCAACATTCCCGACCCAAGGGTGAAGGGGGTGAGAACGCCAGCGTGGAGTGTGGAGGGTTTTAATGAAATCCGCTCAAAAGGGCACAACACACTACATCTAAATAAACACGGTAACAATTGTGACAGTTAAGGCGTGATACAAGGATATAAAAAATGTGAATTCCCAGTACAGGAGAGATACCACAACTGTTTAGCACACGTTTGGTCAAAGGATCGGCTTCACTTGTCTTTATGACGAATTGTTGTATGGTGCTAAGGATGGCGATACTCACTGACGATGCCGGCGAAACGTTTAATAACGTACCACGTTCACGATTCAACTTTTGAAATGATCACTATCAGACAATGGACTCTGGACCAGATGCATTCCTCTGATTCTTCCTTCCTATATGACTATGTTGCGTAAAAAGGTCAAACAACCTCTATACAACTAAAGGAGACTGAGACCACACAAAAGGTTACGCCATCTTCTTCTTCATATCTTATATTAATTTAATGCAGATGGCTAGTTCTGGCTAGATGGATACTCAAGTATAAAGTAATAAATTCTTATGTGTCTATGCCCTTAATAGACTTGCTTTAGAAAATTTCCTATTCGGAATTATCACCAAAAACCTTTGAATAGTCGTTATGTTAAAAGTAAACTAGCTAAATTGTCTAGTATTCATGTAATATCTGTCTTTTTAAAAATACATATATAAATCTTTAGGGATATTTTAAATATGTATTCACTAAAATAGCCATATTGTATTAAAATTAAGTCTCTAAATAAACAAATGTGCACTTGGAGCATGTGGCTATGCATAACCATATATCCAGCGGGTATACCCTGATTTACGCGACAAACAGCAACATAAAATGAATATATCATGCAGCCATCACTCTCTTGGTTTTTGTATGGTGCGATCTGATTTTGAAATAAAATCATATCTGCGAATCGGTCTTTAATGCACAATGACAAGATACTTCACCACTCAATTGGCTCCACTAAGAATCTACTGTATACATAGGTTAAACGCTATATTAAATCCAAATTAAAATAGGAGGCTTAAATTTGCTGAAGAAATTGAGATAGATTGCCTTAAATTAGTAGCTAAATTGTTTATATCGTCAATCTAGTCAATCTAGCCATGCATAACAGGTGAGAATGAAGTCAAGATTTAATGGATGAATTTATCTCATATTTTATTGAGATCCTATCGCACTTTAGTCAGCAAAGATTTTTTGTGTGGAAAATGAATAATTACGTTGTTTATTCGAATACATTTTGCGAGGAAATATATATATTGAAATATGAAAAGGGTTAATTCTGGCAATGATTCTATTTCGCATATATACTTGATGTAATTCTTGTTAAATATCCTCAGATAG